GCCTTTTGGAAGGATCTTTGGGCTGCTAAAGGACTAAGAAGCTAGATTCGGGTTTCCAAGTTGATAACCTTAGAAGCCTAACTATAAAAGGAACCCTTTAGGCCACCAAAATCATCCTTAACCTTTTGAGAGAAACCTTGGACGAATTTTGTGCCTTCTCTTCTGTATCCTGTTCATCCTTATTGCTAGTGGTGTTTGTGATTCCATTAGAGGTGCAACACTTGGGGCACTAGGCTTTCAGAAGTCAAGATAAAGAAGGTTTGTGATTATTATTGCTACATAACAATCAAGCTAATATTCCTAACCCTATTCATATGTTAATTTCGATTATAGTATGCTAGATCTAACGTTTATGAGCTTTGGATGATTATTGCATGTACAAATTGACAAACTAGATCCAAAGATTTAGGGTTTGCATGTGCACCATATGATTGATAAAATGCTCAAAACCCATCAGTATAGACCTTGAACTAAACAACAAAGAGTGCTTTCCAAAGCCACTATCGAACTGTGATTCGAATTAAATGTTAGCTATTCCATCGTTCCATGTATTTGTCCACACAATATCTTGACAACGGAGGACTATATGATCCCTTTTCTAAAGGACGTGTTAGAGTTCGACAACGGCTTTTGAGAGCTACGATTGCTAATCGGATTTTGAAGTCGTACATGCATTTATACTTATTAGAATTATCCAAGTGGGAGACTGTTGGATGATGTGTCTAAGACCATAACTATATTTGGTATGTACTTGAACTGGTAGTCGCATGGTCCTTTTGGGTTGCCTTCACCAAAGCAGCTCGATTGGATGAATTATAGAGAAAGAGGTTAATTATGATTTATTAATATATGGGAATAATATTTTAAATGAGAAATCATATTATTTAATTAAGATTGGTCATGAATTAATTTAGAACTAATTTTTTGGTCAAAAGAGATTTATTAAATTAAGGGGACTGATATTGTAATCATAAGATAATTGCAAAATGGGCTGTGGATCCCTAAGTAAAGGGATGGATGAAATTCTTTTGGAGGCCCACAAAGAATTCGTCCATGGTAAGGTTTTTGGAAGGATCCTATGGGCTGCTTAGGGCTTAAGCAACCATATTAGGTATTTGATTGAAACCCTAACACCTCAGCTATATACAAACCCCTTGGGACTCCATATTTCGGCCACCTGAACCCTAGAAGGATCTTAGAGCCGAAATTAGTATCCCTCCTCCTCTCTCTCTCTCATATTCCTCCAACTTGCTATTGGTGTTTGTGATCGATTAGAGGTATTACACTTGTGATATTAAGATCTCGAAGGTTGAAGATTCTACAAGCAAACATTGAAAGGTAAGATTCTAACTTTGTGTTAGTTATAATTTTCGATTTTTGTATGCTAGATTAGGGTTTATAGCTTGGATGATTATTGCATGTACAATAAGATAAAACCTAGATACAAAGCTTTAGGGTTTGCATGTGCACCATATGATTGTTGTAATGCTCAAAACCCATCAGTATTCTCTCCTAGCACTACTAGAAAAACAGCCTTTTACGATGCTCATTGTGCGTCGTAAAACGCTCAGACGACGCGCAAATGTGCGTCAAGGAAGGCCCTGTCATAAAGGGAGACGACACGCATTTACAACGTGCATTTATGACACGCATTTATGACACGCGGTTATGACACGCAATGCGTATCATGGAAGGCCCTCTCTTAAAGGAAGACGACACACATTTGCGTGTCGTAACCTTACAACACGCGTGTTTATGACACGCAATGCGTATCAAGGAAGCCATTGTCAAGAAAGGCCATGTCATAAATGAAGACGACACACATTTTTGCGTATCGTAATTTTATTTTATTTAAAAAAAATATTTATAGATTTACTGATTTTCAAATTAAATTTGCATTTCATGTCTCATAATAGAAAATAAAATACCATATACGAAAAATACAATGAATTGCACAAAAGTTAGTGTCATACAAATAATCATCTCAATAGTAGACAAATGTAATACATCAAATAATCCTTCAAATACTAGACAAATGTAACATTTCAACATTTTTTATATAATTAACTAAATTATTAGCCAAAATTTCTAAAATACCAACATACTTTTCTATGAAGAGCATTAACACTGTTCTGTTCCATCAAAAACTTCAAAACCTGCATAATTAAAGTAATGTATAATCAACTACATGTCAATAAGGTAGGTTTAAGCAAAAGAGTTTCATAATAGTAAGATTTTCCTTACCACTGTTGTTAGTGACATTGACAAAAGCAACCAAGATTTTACTTACCACTATTGTTAATGACATTGGAAGAAGCAGCCCAACAAACACCCCCTCAGAAGGATTACTACCACATAATTGTTGATATTTGATACTTTATTACTAAATGAAACCAAAAACAAAGTTAAAAAGTCAACAAAATCAGAAGGTTTTAGTCAAACGTACAGAGGTTGTAATTCCAAATATTAGTAAATGACATTGATTGAACCACCTGCAGATTTACCATTTTGTCCTTATGAAATTCACTACTGAACACATTCTACAGTTTGTAAGCTATATATATATATATATATATATATATATATATATATATATATATATATATATATATATATATATATATATATGTTGAGATTAAAACCCTAATTGTGATTTGATGAACAAGATGCGGAAAATAAGAACAAACACAAATAATGAAGATTATGTCGAATGATCACTCGATTTATTCAATATGAGGAATAAATTACACTTTCAGCATAGACTAAAGAATCTAACACTACATAAAAAACCTCACGTGGCGGCTACATTTTGCCTCACTCTTTACCCTAATTGTGAATAATACATGACTATTTATAGGGAAAAGACAAGTCTTGGGCTTTTAACCTACACTTCATCAAAGGGGCCCATTGCCATCATCCATGAAGTGCTTTGAAACCCTACAATCTCCCCCTCAAAGTATGGAATGGATGACAATGCTTTAACTTCCAAAACAAGAATCTAGCAAATAAAAAGATCTGCAACAAGGAATATATGAAGCAATCCACGAATCTTGATTCTTCAATAGTCTTCAAACACGGGCTCTAGGATATATAAATAAAGCACTGAAGTAATGTCTTTAAACTTCATTTTCGAATGTAATCCCAAAGAATCTTCATGAAAACCAAACCCGCCATAAAAACCCATTTCAGAACAAAGAAACCGAATAACTTCTTGTCTTTGAAGAGCTCCCCCTCCAAGTCACAATGATCTTCAAATAAGCTAATGATATAAGCCATCAAAAAATATCATGTAACAACCCAAACTTTAAAATTCGTAATGCCACTTGATCGAGAAAATACAAGAAGTCGGAGATATAACAAGTCCTTAGCAGAGCTCGATAAAGAACTTCTGTTGTAAAGGATACTTCTCTGTAAAAGCTTTAGCAGAGCTCGATGAAGAACTTCCGCTGTAAAAGCTACCTTCATGATTCTACCACAAGCTTTATCAAAAAAACTTCAACTTTGAAAAGTCACAAATCCAATTTCGAATGGCCATACCAAATTCTCCCCCGATTTATAATCAAAAACATGATTATAAAGCCTTCAAATGGTCATGAGAATGATCTTGAATGGATAATAAATTTACTAAGCTCCCCCGCGACAAAATGATATACACAATGAAGTATAAAATCCAAAAAAGTCGTGAAAAATTTGACGTTATCATGAAAAACGACTTTATGAATTGCCAAGACTTGATGAAATCTTTATTTTGCTGTTCACAAAAAAAATATGCGCCTTAAAGAATTCAAAACTGCTCACCAGCCCTTACATTTGCAAACTTTTCGAAAAATGGGCTGAAACTGTCACTTTTCTGAAATTCTGGACCTGAAAATGTAACTCTGCATCATTTCCCCCTTTAATTGCAACAATTTCTGGAATGGACCAATATAGCCAAGTCACTAAAAATACCAGGACCAAAACTGTCAAATCGCTTAAGTTACAGGGACCAAAATAGAAACTTTGAGTTATCTTCCCATTTAGCGACTGATACAGCTAACTTTCGTATCTTGAAGATATGAACACGAAACAAATCTAACTCCGATTTACACTTTCGCAGGTGAGATCGTTCGCACCAATAATACCAATTTTGAATTTTAGCAATACCCGCTTGGCGATTGAGAACCTCACTCCAAATCAATTCCAAACATAGGCTTGATTCCCATTGCAAATTTGAGTCACGATTCCGAGACCTCGTTTTCGATTACATTCGCACGTGAACATTCATATTGATTTTGACTTCCAAGGTTGACCAGTAAAAGCGAACATATGCTCAAATCATTCCATTGAGTTCCAATCCCGATTCCATTCTCTTCCAAATCAAACAAATTTATCACAACCAAATCAAACAATTATCATTACGATTAACCTTCACAATTGCAATCGATTATAATAACAAATGCACTCTGATATACAAAACCTCAAATCCACCTGATTTTGATTCTTCAATACAAACCTTATTTTGTATGTACCAATATTACCGATTTCAACGAATACGAACTGCTTTTAGAGTGACAATAGAAAATCGAAAGATATTAATCGTTTCATATTTATGATGAAATCGATGATCTCAGTCAAGCAACAGGCCTGGATAAATCCACAAGTCGCCAAACGATTTTGAAAAACAAGATTCGATTGAAGAACAAAAACCAATAAACTAAAGAAAAGATCTGATTAAGGATCGACAACATGAGAACCATGATTCATAAGAAGAATTGATCACCAAAATAAATTTATGATGAAGAAACTCGATAACCTTGAATTAGTGAAGGACACACATGAAGACGGAACATAGATAATAAATCAATAAATTGAATGTAGGCTTGATATAATCGGATCAGTGAACAGAGATGGGCAACAAATCAACGGGCTTGATTAAAAGAAGTTTTACAGATCGATTATCAAACAATTTAATTAGATCCACTTAGAAAAGACAAGACGGACAACACAAGAATGGGAATAAATTACCAGATGAACAGATGAACAGTAGAAGAAAACAGTAGCTTCAATAGAATTTTAAATTCTAAAACACGAAAACACCAATAATCTTCAATAACTTGTGCAGAAAATTATCAAATCAAGAACCGATACTTCAAAAATCAATAGATCTTCAAAGACCTGCTCTGATACCACTTGTTGAGATTAAAACCCTAATTGTGATTTGATGAACAAGATGCGGAAAATAAGAACAAACACAAATAATGAAGATTATGTCGAATGATCACTCGATTTATTCAATATGAGGAATAAATTACACTTTCAGCATAGACTAAAGAATCTAACACTACATAAAAAACCTCACGTGGCGGCTACATTTTGCCTCACTCTTTACCCTAATTGTGAATAATACATGACTATTTATAGGGAAAAGACAAGTCTTGGGCTTTTAACCTACACTTCATCAAAGGGGCCCATTGCCATCATCCATGGAGTGCTTTGAAACCCTACAATATATATATATATATATATATATATATATATATATATATCTATATATATATATATATATATATATATATATATATATATATATATACCTGAGTGATTTCTTGGGTGCTTGGCCATTCTTTCCGTCCTTTGTGGTCTCGTTGGTTTGTTTTCGAAGTCGATGTCAACCTAAAACACACAACATGTAAAACATGATATGAATTTGTGTTGTGTGTTTCTTTGAGGGTAGAAAAGTAATTTTACACATACCGTGCAAACAAGTTCGTAAGCTACAACCAAGGGAGGTGAAGCCAGGTAGTTGGATCTTGTTAGTGGGTGAACACGCCCTTCAAAGTTTCTATTTCCCGAAGGCACAACTGCAACAACAATATCTGCAACAAATATGTTCTCAACAGTTAAATAAATTACTTTATTACAAATATGATCCCTATGATTTCTGATTTTTACTTTGTTTCACTCCAAAATTGGAACTTGGAACATTTATTTTTTAATTTTGGTCCCTGGAACGCTGAAATAAGGACTAAAACTGAAAAAAAAGGTTTCATGTTTGGACTAAACAAGGAAAAAGCAGAAATTATAGGGACAATTTTTGTAATTTACTACATATAGTGCAGCCATATCCCACTATGTTGAATCCCTGCTAGCCCAAGTACTTTTGCAGGCCACTGTATACATGAGGAAAGTTATAAAAACGGAAGGCAAAGTAATTAAAAGATAACCAAGGACAAAATTGTAATTTTACCTCTGGAGCAAGTATTTTGTGACAACCCCTGAACCAGGGGAAAGGTTGTTTTTACCCATGGTTTGATCTAATACATGATAATAAAGACTTGTTTAACAAAAAGAAAAATGATTTCTCACGTGACATCACTATCAAGAATTGATGAAAGAGGGTACTCCACACTGTATTGCTAACAAGCTTGACACCAACACCTGAAAGCTGGGAAAAACAATAACACAAATAAATATAAATGTAAGATTGATACTCTCAAGTAACTAATTGATAATTGATAGATAAAACTTAAAAAGTGTGTAAAAGAAAGGTAACCTTGTAAGAAGCAGCCTTGCAAATTCAGATTTGCCTCTAAGGATACAATGATTACCTGCATACGGGTTCTTGCAAGTTCAATAGGATAACAAGTAATACAAGCAAGTGAACGGGCAACATAACCTGCAACTAGTGGGATATAAGGAGTCATGCTTGCTGCATTTTGTAATGAATATTCTTCCATATAATTGCACAAAAGGTCATAACAAGGCAAATAGATGCCCACCTGCCACCAATCATTGTCACAAATTATTATATAAATAAATAACTAAGCCTAAATCTCATAAAAACCACTATAGTTTAACTTTTGTTTTATACTTTGACCACTAATAGTTTGTTTGATTTTTTTTAAACAACACTAATAATTAATTGGAAATTTTTCTGGTTAAAGTTGGTTCTTTTAAAAAAATTAAAAGTTTTAATGGTTATTTAAAAACTTAAAATTAATAATTTAAAAAGATAAGTTTAATTGATAATCAATTTTGATTATCTTCACTCCTCGATGTATTGGGTCATTGCTAATCATGTCAATTAATGGTGGGTTGGTGAGAGATGAGCCAGTTGTCAGTAAATCATCTTCTACTTGATTTCCAGATACATTTATTGCATCAAAAAGGCTGAAAGCAAAAAGATAAGAAAAATACAAATGAATGTTGTTTTTTTTCAAATATTGTTAAGATAAGAATCAGAATATAAGATATTTGGTAGAATAGATAACTGATAACCTACTGCCTCTTGTCATGATAGAGGCAAGATCAAACTGAAATCCATCGACATGCATCTCTGTTACCCAATATCTGTAGGAAGGTATCATAAAGCAAAAATTAATTTACCAAGAATCAGGAACACATGTATGATTCTAAATTACAATTTTGGTCCCTGAGTTTAGCACTCTTTTTCGGTTTTGGTCCCTAAAGGGATCTGTTAGCAATTTTGGTCCTTATTTTGATGTTCATAATGATTTTGGCCTCGACTTTGAACCCCATTCAATTTTAATTTATAATTTTATCTTTATTGCTTGTTGTCAAGATATAACATTGTTAACAATATAACATATATTTTAAAATAGCAAGTTATATTAACATATAAATAATTCAAATTTGCTATATTAACAAGTTAATTCAATATATAGTATAGACCAATAACTTTTATAAATCATATGCATAGATAAAATGTTATAAACCTTACTATAAAGTACAAACTAACAAAACACTATAAATTTGCAGTTTTGGTCAAAAGGAAAGATGCCCAGTTGAAAAAATATCAACAACTGGGTGTTAGATTAAATGCTCCAGATACCAAAATCGTTATGAAACAATAAAATAAGGGCAATGTCTTCCAAACAAATTCCTTTAGGGACCAAAACTAAGTAAGTGCTAAACATAGGTAGAAAAATTGTAATTTACTCTTGAAATAAAAACAAAAAACAGGGGATAGGTAAGTAGCAACTTATATACCTCAAGGAATCTACTATGAATTGGCGAAAAATAGGATGGTTGCAGTTCAATAGGATGGTTGTAGTTGAAGGTGTTTCCACATCCTGAATAGTTGTAGAACTCTCCCTACAAGATCAAAAAATAAATGGTACCTTAAAGTGAGAAAATGACCATCATACCCCCTTCAACTTCATGAGTGAAATGGGTGTTGGTTGGATGGAATTAAACGATGAAGAAATGCAATAAACAGGTACATGGTAATGGAATAAGCAAGATAATGGAATTATGCAATGTAATCAACAATTCCAATACATTTGTCATCATATTCAATCCAACCAAAATAGACCCTTAGTGTACCATAAGTATTAAGAAAGATTGCATCACTTACCTTGAGCCCCTACATTTTGTGGAAGCTGTTATAAGTGAAGCTTCATCTTCTAACTCTTCCTTTGGTAGAAGCAGCAGCATGCCATTATTTACAGGTTCCTTCCTGTTGACTTCTACATAGTCAACCAAATTATCAACATATGCTTTCTCTATTGCTTCATTCAAAGCCATTTCTTCTCTTTTCACACTGAAGTAACAAACATATGTCCACTTGTTAGAAAGCTAGTTACATGTTTGTATAATTAAGCCGACCAAATAACTTCCTTGTCTTTCAAGATTCGAGTTGACTCAGAATATGGTAACACAAATCCTTCCATATGCAAGAGACAAGAAGTAAAGATTACTTATTTCGACCTCAAACTCAATGCAAATTTATAAATACTCCCAACCACATTCAACTTTATGAAGATCAATACTGATAAAACAATATCGATGTTAAAATTCAAAACATAAGCTTTTTTCATCTCCACTTGAAAAGTGCTAGATTGGAAGTAACATCACATCCTATGTTACTTTCATCTCCACTTGAAGAGTACTATATTGGAAGCTTTTTACAGGTTCCTTCTTGTTTTACAAACCATGAGCATGGTTATAGATAGGTATTGGGGCAATGCAAACCTGAGAGCAAATTCCAATGGCACTTGATACACCAAGCAGAGTAATTTGATAAATGGTAAAATTAAATAATAAATAACTATTGAATAGAAAGAAAAAAAATGAAACTTTCAAGTTTGGACTTAAAACATCTGTCTGCTCAAAGACTTTGCAGATTTCACTTGATTGTTAAAAGAAGTAAGAGTTGCCAATAATTTTACACCATCTGTCTGCTCAAAGAATTCGCAAATTTCAATTGATGGTGTGCCATGATTACACATCATTTGTTATCATCTATAAATAAAGTGAGTTGGTAACTTATTCATAAAAAGTATTTGTAATGATGTAACATACTGAAATTCAACAAAAGAATCAAGATTTAAACCTGTGTAATTGCAGAAGAGTCATAAGCTTGATTCAGAACCAGTGAGGAGTATGTTCCCTTGTGCATATAGCTCCAATATAATATATTAAGCATTAGCACCAACCCTAAATCGAAAGAGATTTATATGCTTATATAATTAAATGAGAAACTAAAAATATAATATAATAATCACCAAAGAAAAGAAGAATCTTATGTTAGCTACAATAGTTATAAAAGTATTTGATTGATATCTTCATTATAACGGTTAACTTGATTAAGATAGACAAGTAAAAAAGGAGAAGCCAAGACCAGAAAAACAAATTTCAAGAAGAAAATTAATTGTCACCATCAATTATTCAAATTTGAACTAAAGCAAAAAGATACTAAAATAAGTGGCTCTTGTGACTGTTACAATACTACAAATACAAATGTTCCATAATTCATTCACTGAAAATATTGAAACAAAGAAAAAAAAGTTTGCCCTAGTACAAATAGCAGTGCACAGAAGATGACCAATCCTTCTCAATCCTTTCACTATTGTATATGCACCAAAAGAACTTTCAAAGACATACACATACGTAAAACCTAATTGAAGAAAAAAAAACAGCAAACAAGTGACATAAATCAAGAACAATCAAAGTCGAACTCACCTATCTGAGCAGCAAATGCATAGAGAAGAGCTTCTGCCATGAAAGAATCATACAAATCTCACACTAGAACTAACTAGAGAAACCTTTTTCATATATATAAGCATCTGATTTAGGTAAAACTACACTGGAAAGAAAAGAGGTCATTGTGATCAAGATCTTGTAGTTTTTTTAGGGGAAACTTAGAACTGTAAACTGAAAAGTAGTAGAAAAGTTATATAGGGGCAAAGAGGAAGGAGATGAGAAACGCGAGGCCATAGAAACAAATAGACAAAAGGGAGAGAAAATAATCGATGATGATAGAGCCTTAGAAGGATTAGAAGCAAATCTAAGGGGTTGAACCCAAACATGATTGCATCTTCATTCCCCACAACCACCGTCTAGCGTCTTCCTTCATTGGAGCCACCGTTGCCGCCTCTTCTTTCCTTCAAGCCAACATCTCAAACCTTTGTCTAGCAATTTGATTCTTGAGAGAGAGAGAGAGAGAGATAGAGAGCAATCACACCGACAACTGTTGTTTTTTGTGAAGGACCTGAATATCATACACATTAAAGCACCCACATATACAAACACAACCAACTAATTATGGAGGGTGGCGGCATAGAAACACGCCGACAACCTAGGCTGCCGACCATGGCGGTAAGTGGTTCTTGGCGAGGAAAACAGAAAAGAAGGAGAAGAAAATAATAGAAATCGATACCCTAGGCTAGAGAAAAGTGTTGGGTTATGAGCATTCTAACACTCCTAAGTGTACATGCAACCCTAAATACCTTGGATCTATGTTTTCTCTATTATACATGCAAATATGAATATCCAAGGTATTATCCTAAACTAGCATACATAACTATCAATATAACAAGATAGAATACATACCTCTTTGATGGTGCTTGTCTTCATGAAGCTTGAGTGCCTAGTGCCCCAAGTGTGACACCTCAAATGGTTCACACAACACCATAAGCACTTGGAATAACTTAGAGAGAAATTAGAACACTTCATGAAATCGTCTAGCCCTTATACACACACATAGTCACGATTTCTTGAGCCATGGGTTTCTTTTATATGGTGGCTATTAGGGTTACACCATGTAACTCATGACTTTACCCATTCCTTATGCTCCATGGATTTTAACCTCCATGGAGTATCCATGGGTCACCCCATGGACTTAGTCCAACATAAGGAATCTTGGATCACAAGCCCACATATATAAGAATGAATGATTTACACAATCAACCCATATATTTAATTAGTCTCCTTTTGATCACTTAATTAATTCCAAATTAATTCTTGATCAATACTAATTAAATAACCTTATTAATATATTAGAACTTATAATATATTAACAAACCTTAAGTGTTATTTCTCTCATTTTAGTCTATCCAAGTGCATGATGCCATGCAACCCAAATGGACCATGCCGGGTCGGGTCAAGTCTTACCAATTATAGTTATGGACTTAGACATTAATCCAACAGTCTCCCACTTGGATAAGTCTAAAACTATTATTGCGTATGACTTCAGGAACCAACTGGCAATCGTAGCTCTCAAAAGCTTCTGTCGAACTCTGACCTTGTAGATGAACTCTGATCTTGTCAATGACTTGTCCATTAGATAAGGGATCATATATTCCTCCATTCTAGATATCATATGGACTGAGACATGGATTATAATCATTCTCTCTGTCCATTTGTTGTTTCCCGATTTCCGATTTATGACGACTGACTAATTGAACAAATCAAATCAGTCCTGGCCCGGCCGAGCACTTCCATTTGTCATCATCAAATCATCGAGGGGCCCACAGATATCGCTTTTATCCCGAAGGTAAAAGGAATGGATAAACTTCGACTCATATGGCTTGTTCTACTACTTGTTGAATCATACACAAAGACACGTTTTATAACATCGAGTTACCAATGCGTTTCGTGCAATCAATGTACAACCAACTCATAGTAACAACTCATATCTCTAGGTTTGAAGAATATAAGATATTATCGTCTCATGATCACTCGTGATAAAATCCATGAAGTGATTCCAATGAGCGCGGGTTGAATCCAATACTCAGAACTTATGAGCACTCATGAGTGTTGTAGCCCTTTGTCCAACACTTAGACCTCTACAAGCCAACCCATGACAGTCTTAATTCATATCTACTTCCAACATATGACCGACTGTGGATGGTTTGAATAACTTAGTCATTCCGGAAGAATAACCTAGTTTATTCGGGAAGTCAAAACATGCAAAGTGAAACACAATAATAATTGAATCCAATATGGTATCAAAACCTATGAACATAAATAAAACACCTTTTATTTATCACCATATGATTACACATTATTCATTGTATACTGTTTCAGCTATCAACTTTATTCTTGAATTTAAAACAATAGTTGTCCCATGCTCCAAGCATGTACACTATGTTTTCTAAACACTAGTCATGCCATACACCAAGTATGCATATATGTTTGTCTATGATCTTTATTTTGTGAACTAGATCAATGAACATAACTTCAATGATTCTCTTTTCACACTCCCAAATCCTTACTGCAAATGCAAGAATTCCAAATTCATGTCATTTACTGAAATCTGTTAGATTCTAAACTTATATGCATCGATCCTCTTGTAATGATTATGCACAAAGTCAGAAAGACTTAACAACAATCATTACAGAGCATTCCAAAGGAGATCAAGTCCTTGGAACCATCCTTCTTGCATTAAGTTTCCTTAATCTTACACAGATTGAAAATTCTAACTTTGAAACATTTCCAGATTCCATTTCGACTATCACTTCTGAACAAGAGTTGCCTCCTTACAGATTATGTCAATATGGTCCTTCCAGAATTATCACTATACTTCCAACTGTCCTTGAGCAACCAATCTTTGGTAAACCTTAGATTTCCTCGACAATTGTTTAATCCTTTTAGTCATATCCAGTTCTAAACCTTTTCCCTTCTTAATGCCCTAGGCATTTGGAAAATTTTAGAAAGGATGAATATAGCACATGTAATCGATCCTATATCCGAAGCATATGGGACACGATTCATGATGTCTCACATAAAGACTAAACCAGTCTTTTGCTATAACATTTCCATTTCTATTTGCCAAGTTCTCATAATTCAGATTATGAAAAGGGATGCCGTAATCATAATCGAATTTAAGAACGCAAATAATGGACCCATATACAGAATTTCCTTATGTTGAGCCATTCCAACATGAAATTCATATATATCCTTGACTAAATGATTAAAACCTCACGATCTAAGCTTATAGATTTGAGATGAAGTATAATTTCCTCTCCCTTAATTATAGCAAAACAACTTTTCCCAATTGAAACTTTTGTTTTCTATAATTAACATTGCTAACTTGCAATACTTATCATAATTATCATGCTCCCACTAACATGATGATTATTAGCATAACACTTATGCTCCCACTAGCTTTGACATGTACTCAGAAATCAGCTGGACTTCTAGAAATCAATACTTTATTGACCAAAGTTCAGATTTCTGATACTGGATTGTTTTGATAGAACTTTATCAAAATCATACACCTTCTCTTAGATAGCTCATGGGTG